GTGGAGGGCGGATGGGCGGAAATTTTGGTGTGGGCTGGGTTGAAGAAGTTGCGCGGGTGTCGTTTGGCTGGCTGCTGGGTGGGAGGGGGCAGGTGCTAGGGTGTGAGGCGGAGGAAAAGGGTTGAGTGCAGTAAAACAGGAAATGAAGGCAGGCAGATGGACCTAAGACAGCGATGATACACTGCAAATGCCAGCAAGCAGCGACCAGAGCGTCAGCGGGGCTGCCGCAGGCCAACTGAAAAGGGTCCCACGGACGGCACAAGCGCATACAGCCGCCGCGCACCTGGCTGGCGTTGGTGGCGTAGCCGCCCAGGCCGATAGCGGCAAGCTTCGAGTCGATGACCGACGCGGCCTGCTTCTGGGCGGCGTTGATCGCGTCCGTCGCGGCCTTCACGCCAGACTCCAGCTGATTGGTCAGGTTGCCCACTGCGCCCTGCACCGCGGCCTTGGGGTCGGCGATGAATGCGGCCTTGGCGGACGCCAGCTGCTGCGCCTGCTTGTTGGCGGCGTCGAGGGCGTCGGAGGCAAGCTTGACCTTGGCATCGAGAGCGTCCTGCGCCTGCTTGGTCGCCTGGGCGATCTCGCTGGAGACGGCCTTCACGGGGTCGGCCTTGAGCGCCGAGAAGTGCTTGAGCAGGCCATTGAACGCGTCATTCGCCTGCTTGAGCTTGGCCTCGACCTGCTGCACCACCGCGGCGTGCGCCGCGTCGAACGCGGACTGCAGCGCCTTGGTCGCGTTGCCGAGCAGCGCGAACTTGATGTCGGCGTGGGGCAGGTCCTTCAGCAGCGAAAGGGCGATGCACGACTTGAGGTCGGCGAGGCCGGCGGGGGTGGAGACGCCGCTGAAGCCGAGCTTCTTGGCCAGCGCCGCCAGCGAGTCGTTGCCGAGGGTGGCCTTGCCGGTCAGGTTGGAGAGCTTGTCGAAGGGCAGCGCCTTGAAGAGGTCGTCCGCGCTGACGTTGGGCAGGAGGGCCTTGATGTCGGCGATCGACGGCACCTCTGGCAGCTTGGGGGTGGGGATCGACGGCAGCGATGGCAGCGGCGGCAGGCCGGCGCCGGGGCCAGACGCGGGCAGCAGCGACAGGACGGGCAGGCCGGTCTTGTTCTGCACCTTCTCCAGCAGGTCGAGCGCCTTGCTCTCCTTGAGCAGCGACAGCAGCAGCTCGTTCTTCAGCTGCTGGGCGCTGGACAGGGTGCTGTTCAGCTGGGCGAGCAGCGCCAGCTTCTGCAGCTGCGCCTTCTGGATCTCGGCGGGGATGTCGGGGATCTTGAAGCCGTCGGCGGGGAAGGAAGCGTTGAGCTTGTCGTAGAGGCCAGACTCCTTGAGCCAGGCCAGGACGACAGCGGCCTTCCAAGTGTCCACGTGGCCGACGGGCAGCTGAGGGGTTTTGGATTTATGAGGGTCGAGGCGGAGTGGGGTTGTGAGGTGTATGGGAGCCGTGCTGTTCGCATGTATTAATGGTTGTGCGCGCTGCTTTGAGGATTAGGGGGCGCAGGTGGCCAGCATTGGGGCCGCCTATAGAGGCTCGCCATGGGGCTGTCTAGCGGCTCGAGCGACAGAACCGACGGCGCGCCCAGCGAGGCCCCGGCGCGATACGCCCTCCCTGGCTGCCTTGGGCTTCACCAAACCCCTGTGCTTTGGCCTTGCGGCGGCGAGCTTTGCTCCTTCGCAGCCGCTGCCGCCTCCGCATCCGCCGCCCCTCTTGTGCCTCCTACAGCTGCCCGTCCTCCTCTGCCGGCCCCACCCTCAGCTGCACCCTGCGCAATACACCCTCCCTGGCTGCCTTTCGCGCACCATCAAACCCTTCTGCTTCAATATAGAAGCATGCTGCAAAGACTCACCAGCTTGGTAGCCTGGTCGACCTTAGCCTGGACGCCATCAGCAACAGACTTGACGACGCCGCGCACGGGGCCGAGCACATTCTTCTCAATGTGCTCCTGCACGGGCGCGAGGGTGTCGTTGACTGTCTTGTAGACCGACTCCACCTTGGCCTTGATGGGGGCCACGGTGTCATTGACCTTATGCACGACGCCAGTGACGGCCTGGTTGAGGGCCTGGTTGGCCTGGTGGGTCACGTTGCCACCGAGCTTGTCGCCCACGGCCTTGCCGATGCCAAAGGCATCAAACAGCGGGTTGGACGCCTGGGTGCCTGCGGAGCGGTCGACAGGGGTGGGTTGGGGGGAGAGGGGGTGAGGAGAGGGAGGGGAATGAGTCAGGGAGGTCGTAGGAGGTGCGAGCTGAGTGTCGTGCAGGTTTTGTTGCCGTTTCATGTCAACGTGGAGGCGTTCAGAATCTGAGTATCATGGGTAGTTGGAACAAGCCGATGGGGCTGTGACGCGGCGGGGCCTGACCACGGCTGTAGTCTTGTGAGTAGTGCGTCCCAACTGCATCTGCAGTGGCCTCTGCCCGGCTTGTGCCACAGCCCTCAGCCCGGGCTGCCAGGCAGCAATACGATTGAACTGCATGATTACGGCCTTTTAGAATCCGCTCGCGTCCACTGTACGCCCTCCCTGAGCGAGGGCAGGGCTGCTAGCCGCTCTCAACCTCTCGGTCCACCGGGCCCTTCCTCGGGCCCTAGTTCGCGCTCACCAACGGCAAGCAGCACCAAGAATACCGCCACACTCCTAGAGTGCTTCATGGCGTCGATGAGGGCGCGAGTGGCCGCGGTCCCCTTGTTCGGTGGAGGTCGCTGTAGTGGTCTGCGCTTCTGAGGTACGACGCACACAGGCTTCACGAGCTCATGACGCACTCAAGAATTGTTTTATGTGCAGATGCAAGCAGCAGGAGCGATCTTGTGTGTGAGCAGCATTGAATTGGTGGGACCTGGCAAGGCGCCCGTCCTGTCTCAGCGAAGCTTCTTATATTTATTGTATGCAAGATACATATTGAACAATACAATTCTTAGCACCTCGCCTCATCACGTTACCTGCAAGGCCAGGCTGGGATCATGCAGCGTCGCCAAAACTTGGGTTTCACACCAAGAAACAGGAGCTATTAAAGCATTTCACGTTGAATAGAATCGCAAGAGCTCGGCTTGCGCCCCCTCGTGGCGGCGCCGTCGCGGCAACTGCAGACTGTCATGTGTGCGTCTGCAACGCCGAGCAGGAACTCTGCGTTTCGCACAGGGCTGAGGCCGCAAGAGGTCTCTTAGGGGGCAGTGCCTCAGGTCATGGCCCAGCTGCACAAATGTCCCTTGCCAGGCAGTTGTGGCAGCTGGCGCCGGTGCGGCGGCAGCGTCTGCAGCAGTCGCCCGCCTGGTGACTCGATACATCCCATTTACCGACCCAGGCATTCAGAGGGAGCCCTGGACCAACTCCAATCACGCAGCAAGTGGGGCGTGCGGGAGCTTGCGTCCACGCGGCGTGCTGCACATCAGCCATCCGACCCCGGGCGACAGGAAGCTGCGCAGCAAAATGTGCTCAGACAGCAGCGCAGCGTGCAGAAGCCCCAAGGCACAGCAAAACGCGAGTCTTCACAGACAGTCGACCAACAGCCAATAATGGACTGCACGCTCCAGAATTTCAAGCCTCTCAAGTGTGGGGTTTGGCGGCGCGTTGCAGCGCCCCTGCCACCCAGCTTGCATCCGTTACCCAAGCCAAAGGCAGAAAACCAATCCGCCCACGGGGGCGGCGCCGCGCGCACAGCCTCAGCTGGTGATGCGTGCGACTGTGGCTCCAACTTCTGGCGTCGCCGCCACTGCAGCTCCTCCTGCCTGCGCGCCGAGCGGCCCGGGTATGGGGGGCGGCACAACGCCCGGCTGCAGCGGTTTGACCATCAGCAGACGCCGGGGCTTGCCGATCCGGCTCTTCTCAGCGTCCGAGACCCAATCAGGGTCCATCCAATTTGTAGTGAGGAATCCGAATGAGGAGTAGAGGCTGTGAGGGGAAGCAGGAGAAAGGGAGGGAGGAGGGGCAGGTGCGCGGTTCGCACGAGGCTGAAGGTCTCAGGGCAAGACGACGAGATGGCCGCTGGGGCTGCGGCACCCTGTGGACGAGGCGAGCGTGCTGCGCGCCGGCGGGCAGCGGCCTGGCATTCTCGCCCCCCCCCCCGCGCGCCGCGCTCCCGGTGCACCCGCGAGTCTGTGCCCTGCAGACCTGAATGCCGGCGAGTAGCCCTTGTAGCACAGCAGCGCCATGAACTGGGGGCGCTCCGCCAGGCGACAGGTGGCGGTGACGAGGCTGGACTCCATGAGCTGGCGCGCGACGCCGCGCCGCCGCCAGGCCGGGGCGACCGTCATGTTGGTCACCTGGGTGACACGACAGAGCGTCCGCGGTGGTTGAGCCAAAGGCGCATCATTATATCCAGGCCCAGTATGTCCCTACAACTGCCCTGGGCTGCGATGTGTTGCACGAGGGTACAGCTCGAGGCTCGGGCAGTGATAAATATCAATTTGCGAGCAGCCTTTGTGCACCGCGCTGCGCTGGCGCCGCAGTTGGGGTGCACTATTGCTCACCATGGCAAAGGGTGCGCCGACTTCGCAGCCCGCAGCCGCCGCGATGGTCTCGCCTGCATACCTCACAGTCACGTTGCAGACGCCGACCGCGCCCTCTGTGCGCGCTCGCTCCGCATCCGCTGCATAGCCGCGGCCCTGCCGCCGCTCCCCTTGCTGCTGCTGGTCCCCTCGCTGCTGCTGTGGCTGCTGCTGCTGTTCTAAAAGCTGTGCTGCCTGGCTCTGGGGGGCCACCGCGAGGAGCGTCACGTGGTGGCCGCGGGCGCCCTCATTCAAGTGCAACCCGAGGTTCTGCGCCGCGTGCCGCAGGCGGTACGAGTTGAGGGCCAGCGCGTCTGCCAGGGCCGAGCCCTTCCGAGGGTAGAATTCCGCCGCCACCAGAGAGTTGGCCTGCATCAGCGCGTCCACCTGGTCTGCGGCGCCCTTGAATTCGGAGAGGCAGACGATCCCCAAGTCATCTGCTGCGCTTGTGCTGCCGCCGCTGCCGCCCAGGGCGCTGGGAGCCTGTGCGAGACGCAGACCAGGCGCGCGCCTCAAGGCGCGGCTGCAGGTGCAAGGACGGCGCGCCCATCCGACGCTAGGCTGCAGCAGTACGCCTGCGCGGTCAAGTTGAGGGTGGAGATGCAATGCGAGCGGGGGGTTGCGTCGCAGCGTGCGGTAAGGCATAGCGCGTCGAAGACCCGTCCAGAGCAGGCCTCTCTCAGAGCAACTCGAAGCTCTTACAGATACCGGTATTGTTATGAGTGACGTGCACAGACAAATGACATTGTCGCTGACCTTCAGGGCGAGTGGAAGTGACGATCGCCGCTCTCATCGCGCCCCGCTTTCAACAAACGACGCGGTGCCTATTGTTGAACGTTGACAGTCACTGCTGACAACACATTCCACGCCCGTCTGAAGTGACGAAAGTCATCCCGCGGCCTTCCGCTATGCATGACCTGCAAGCACCCCAGAGCGCGCTGATACATGTTTTATCTCACCTGCATATCATACTAGTCTTACAGAGCACGCGGTTCTGCCAGATCGGCACGCACAAACTTGTTTCAAAATTAGGCCCCGTTTCCAGGCTTCGTCAGGACTTCAAACGGTGCGCAGAGTGCTGCGCGATCGTCGGCGGTACTGCTGACGCTGTGACACAGCGTAGGGGCGCCTGAAGGCCTCGCTGCAGCAAGCAACACCACGCGCAGCATGCCACCCATCCTGAGCCCCCGGCCTGGCCCTCCCCTTTTGCAGGGCCTACGACCGCCTCCCGCATCACCCGGGCCCGACCGTGGCCCCGTCCCAGCCCCGAAAGGCCAAGGCAGCAGGGGGCGCCATGCGGGGGTCGGCGATGGGCGCGAGCGCCAAGCGCATCAATAAGGAGCTCGCAGAGATTGCCCTGGACCCGCCGCCGGGCTGCTCCGCGGGCCCAAAAGACGACAACATATACGAATGGGTCGCCACGATCCAGGGGCCGCAAGGTGCGCCTGCGGAGCAGCTCTGAAGAGAACCGGCCGCTGGTGGACGGATGTCCATGCGTGCTGCGCGCCGGACGCGGCGGCGCTGGCAGCGACGGCGGCACTGTCAGGGGCAGCCCTGCGCAGCTGACAGTGCTGCTCTACTGCAGCACATGTGCATGCCACCTCGCCAAGCAGCGCCAGGGGCAGCAGCCACCCGCCCGTCCATGTCATGCTGTCCGTGCAGGTGCGTTGCGCCCCCCACATTTGAGCCCCCACCCCATTGCACCCATCACGCCACCCAGGCTCCCCGTACGCCAACGGCCTGTTCTTCCTCGACATCCATTTTCCATCAAGCTACCCCTTCCAGCCACCCAAGGTGTGAACCGCGCTCTGCTTCCCCTGATTTCGTGCTTGGTTCTCACCACTATGTTTTCAACGCTGCTGCGGTTCTTTGATGCGGCCCAGCTCCGATCCACCTGTCACTTTTTCCGCGATTTTGTTGGCTCCAGCGCCTCCACCGGCCCCCATCACTGCATGCAGCGCCTGCCGTGCCTCCAGCCTGCCGCGCTGGGGGCGTGATCCGATGCAGTTTCCCGCCAACCTCGCCTCCATGTGCCCTGCCATTCGCAACGCACTTCCTCTTGCGCCCCGTCAACCATTCTGTGGAGGCCCCCGCTGTCCCCGCCCCCGGTCACCGCCACCACGTCGCCAGGTGACGTTCCGCACGCGCATCTACCACTGCAACATCAACAGCACGGGCGGCATCTGCCTCGACATCCTCAAAGACCAGTGGAGCCCCGCCCTTACGGTGTCCAAAGTCCTGCTCTCCATCTGCTCGTTGCTCACGGACGCCAACCCCAGTGAGCACCCCTACCACCGGCCGCGGCCGGCCGCGCGGCGCCGGGCCCGAGGGGGCCCGTTTCTGCACACTTTCCCCAGGCTTTGCATTGCTGCTGGCTGTTGCGCGGCTGCAGCGGGCCTTGGAGTGGCGCTTCGGCAGCAGCTGCACCTGCTGACATTGATTTGTACAATTTGATGCAACGCGGGGCCTTCTCCATTGCAGACGACCCTCTGGTGGGCAGCATCGCGCAGCAGCTCCTCACCGACAAGGCGGCCCACGACAAGACAGCGGCGGAGTGGACCAAGCGCTACGCCAGCGGGTGACGCAGGGCCGGCGGCCGCGGCGGCGTCGTTTTAGCCGGCGGTTGTGGCGTCGGCGGCGGCGGCGGCACGGCGGCGGCTGCGCGCGGCAGCATACGCGAGATGCTGCGCAGTGCGGCGTTTCACAGCTGGCGTCGGCGCGCCTGCACAGGAGCCACTACCGCAGTGGCCGCGAGGGGCAGCTAAACGGCTGCAGCACGCAGCAGCGACGAAGCAGACCAACTGATCACCCCGAAGCCACTTGCGTGCTTCTCTTGTCTTCTTTGCTCACAAGGCAGTAGCCCTCACGCAGCCAAGTCAGCCAGCAGCATAACAACTGCACAGCCAGGCACCTCACTCCTGCCCTGGGGCTCTCTTGTTTTGTAGGCCACTCCTTTTCATCTCCTCAGGTCGATTGTGTGGTGTACAACATACCTGTACTCAAGGCAATACGCCCATCAGTAGCTTCATAGGTCTTGTAAATTACCTGTCAACCACCACCACCTGATTGTGTTGCGCACAGATAGCTTGCTGCACATCTTGCCCATGAGTGGGAAGATGCGGGTGTGGTGTAGCGGGTGTGCAGGTGCCGATGCAACGTGCAGCATGTTAAAAGAAGGCAGCGCTAACTGCCTCTTGGTCTATGCCCCTGCATAATCGCATGCCGCCAGCCGAGCGCCTTGACACCACATGTCGGGCGTGATGAACACCTGACGTTGGCATTACTGCAGCAAGACGAAAGCGCGGGGCCTAAGTGTAAACACCCATGCATAGACGTGCATTGCATCCAGGATGCCACATCACAGGCGGGTGGATGTGCTGCTTCTCCCCAGGCGCAGCGATGCTGTGGCTTGCTGACTGAAGATGTGACCGCAGCTCGAGCCGCCAGCGCAGTCCATAAACCGCCGACTCGATAGCAGGGTCGATCATGCGCTACCCCGAATCTTGAAAGCAATTGAATATGACAGCTGCCCGCCAGGAGCTGTGAGCCCGCGCGTCGTGAAAAGATCACCTAGCCGATGTTCAAGCGGCAGGCAATGGCGCTGAGCCTAGCAGCAGGAACGGGTCTGACAGCTTGGGGCTACGCTGGCGCACCACGGCCAGCGCGAGCCGACGCTCGGCGCCCTGGAGTCTCTGCTGCCGCGGCATCTGGGGCATCCGCCGCAGCCGTGGCTCCGCCGGTGCTCGATCGCAGCACAGCACGCTTGAAGCAAGTGCAGGTTGTGTTCAGGTGAATGCGCCGGCGCACCGCCTCAAGCAGCTGCAGCTGCTGCTTTCCTCGGTTTCGGCTTCCTGGACTAGTGGCGGCGATGGCGGCACTGATGCCGATGCTTTGCATATCCCTGAGCTGGCCAGCCCCCCGGCTGGCTTGCACATGCTGCGTTAAAAAATTCTGCAACTACGGCCTGAACCCGCTCAGCTGCCAAACAATGCAATCTACGCAGGCATGGCGCGCGCACGCCCCTGACAGAGCATCAATTTCTAATGTTTGGAGCCACCTGGGGCCCAGAGACCTGCGGCTCTGCCTACGACGGCGGCGGCGCACGGCTCGAGATCGCCGGCCGCGACGGCCTGCCGCCGCCGCCGTCGCCGGGGGACGTCGCGCAGATCAACTGCAGGCTGCCCGGCGGCGGCTGCCACAAGGGGGAGCTCACGCTGCTGGGCCAGCGGCAGGTAGAGTGGGGACCTACGGGGCATTGGCAGACCTGGGGTGGTTAGTTGACGGTTGTCGGTTGTAAAGGTGGGATCGGCATACCATGCCAAACAGCTCAGCGCCGCCGCTGCGTAGCGTGGAGGAGCCTTGCTGCAGTTGTGAGGAGGCCTGCACGCGGCCAAGCCGGCTGCCCACTCTTTGCAGCCGCGGCCTGCATCACCCCACACCCCCGCCCCGCCTGTGTTGGCGGGCGCTTGGCCCCTGTCAACCCACCCCAGCTGCTGTCGCGCCACCTGGTCCGCCCCTGTCCCCATTCGAGGAAATTGCAATGCCGTCGCTCATCCGCTTTGTTGTTGCACCTCATCACCTCGACACGCAGGCGCTGGATCTGGGCCGGTGGCTGCGGCAGCGATACGCCGAGGAGTTCGGGTACCTGCCGGGCAGCTACGCGCCCGGCCTGGTGTCCTGCCGCACCACCAAGTTCTCCCGCACCCGCGAGACGCTGCGCGGCGTGCTGACCGGTGAGGGGCGGGCTGCGGCAGCTAAGAGCCGACGCGACGCGCTCAGCCAACCAACTTGCGCGTGCGGCGTTTTGCGGGTTGGCTTGGTCTCAAAGTCGTGGCGCGCAACGGCCCGGGAATGGCGGCCGGGGTGCGCGGCAAGCGGAAGGCGCGATGGCGCGATTTTGATCGCGCGCCCGCGCTGGCGACGGAAAGATGAGAGAGAGAGAGAGAGAGAGAGAGAGAGAGAGAGAG